GTACGTGTGTACGTGTGTACGTGTGTGTATGTGTGTACGTGTGTGTATGTGTGTACGTGTGTGTGTATGTGTGTACGTGTGTGTGTGTGTGTGTGTGTGTGTATACATGCACGTGGGCACGCAAGATGCACTGTTTTGCTTGATTTGTTTACTTAGCAGTATGTATTAGAGGGAATTTCAAGTCACAATGTTGATTGACCTTGTTCCATTTCGTGGATATAACAATTAATTTAACTTTTTTGCTGTTGCTGGCTTTCTTAGGCTGTTATCATTTGGGGATGTCATTACAAACTAGAAGCCCGAAAGTCATGCAAGAGTAGGTCTTCCTTCCCCCGGCTGCCAGCACCAGCTTCCCTCTGGCACCCAGGACACGGGCTTCCCTCCGGCCGCCAGTAGACACCCGGGACCCGGGCTTGCCTTGCAGCCTTGGCTTTGTCCGGAAGGATGTCCGGTCTAATTAGCATATTATGCTTTTATTATTATAGATAATGCTTCAGTGAACCCCTTGTACATTGTGAGAGTTTCCACAGGTTTTCAAGAAGTGGATTTGCTATTTGCAGAATTGAAGGATTTTAAATTTTGTGAGATACTACTAACGTTGCATGAGAAAAACAAAGTTGTAGATTGAAATGGATAGAATGATATCATTTATGTTGGAAGAAAAACCCAGATATGTTATAGGAACATATTCCATTAATCAGAATAACAGTTGAAAATTTGGAGAGAATGCTAGATTTGAGAATAGTAGTGAAAGAGACTTTGGCCTTTTCAGTGATGTTTAGATTTGTATAACAAGAATGTATTCATGTTTTGCTTGAGCTGCTATAGTTATCAATGAAATATAGAGATGTTTGGATAATTTATATCTGTCTTTATGCTATAATCATAGAATAATCTCTATTTTCAACCACATACTGACCATTTAAAAATTTTGATCATATATTAGGTTTTAGAAAAAAATCAGTGTATTTCACTAAGTAGAATTAGGTGAGGATCACATTCTTTGGTCACTATTATTACCCAATCAAACATTTAATCACCTCAGGTTTTAAAACTATATGTAATTCTAGCTTTCTGTTTACAATGGTTGGATTCTAGTACAAGTGACTAAAATTTTTAAAAATTTACTATTGGCCTTAATACCCTTTAGTGCAAAATAGAGCACTTCAGTGGCTATGTTGTATGAATATAGTGAACAATTTCTTAAATTATGTGAGTCCAAAGAATACGTGTTATTTTAATATGTAATTTTTGTTTTTCTTAAAGAGATGTGAAAGCTGGAAATATTCTTCTTGGAGAAGATGGTTCAGTACAGATTGCAGGTAATGATTAGTATTTCTTTTATTTTGACTTAATGCTCAGTAGAACCACATTACCCATCTTTACATTTTCTGGATCATTTCTAGTCAAGCACCCTATATAGGCACATCCCTGCTGACTCTCAAGATATTCTTCACTTCTCAATATTCATTTTCAATCTTAGACATTTTTCTATTACTCATCACCTTTTAGTTATCCACTCCTTATCCCCCATTAGGGTCTTTTTCTATGGTTTCTCATAGCATTCTGTACAGCTTTTTAAAGGAGAAGTAGTCAAGAAACCTCCTTATGTTTAAGAATAAATATGCTATAGAGAGGTGATCTAGAGCTGCTTCTGTACTGGGGGACATGGGGTATTTGCCAATTAGGAAGAGTCATTTGAGAAGTGGAAGTGCGCTTTGGGGAGATTCAGAGCTGAAGAGTTGGAGTCCAGGGTCTGCCAAAGGTGGCTATCCTGGTGAAGTAACCCTTGCTTCAGGCCGAGACTCCAGAATGGTGGAACCACAGGCTTGTTGAGCAAGCAGATGATCTGAGAAAACCTCAGTGTAGTCCCATATACACTGTTGCAACAGTCTGGTGTTTGGCAGGAGGAAGATAATCACTCAAAACTGAATTCTTTCTTCAGCATTAAAAGATAACTTAGGTACACATTTTCATGTCCTAAGGTAAGGGAATATTTTAACCAAGCCACATAATGTTCTAATATAAAGGAAAAGATTGGTAAATTTGACTCTTAAAATTAGCAACCTTTATTCATCAAAAGAGGAACCAACAGTGTATCACCATGAATAAGTAAAAAGCAAACCACAGGGTATAGAGAAGATATTTGCAGCATGAATACTGATAAAGGGCTCAAATTTAGAATAAATAAAGGACTCATTAAGAAAAAAATCTGATTAGAAAATAGACATAAGGCTTCTCAAATGAAGACATTAAAACATAAGTATAGCCCTAACCAGTTTGGCTCAGTGGATACAGCGTCGGCCTGCGGACTGAAAGGTCCCAGGTTCGATTCCGGTCAAGGGCATGTACCTTGGTTGCGGGCACATCCCCAGTAGGGGGTGTGCAGGAGGCAGCTGATCGATGTTTCTCTCTCATCGATGTTTCTAACTCTCTATCCCTCTCCCTTCCTCTCTGTAAAAAATCAATAAAATATATTTTAAAAAAACAAAAAACATAAGTATAAAAGGTGTTCAGCCTCACTAGTAATCAGTTAAAAATGAAGTAGAGTATCATTGGGATACTATGTCATACTGACTCAGTTGGCTTACAAATCTAATAATACCAGTTGTTAGTTTGGATGTAAAGCAAGGAAAAAATCTCATACTCTGATCATGAGAGTGTAAATTAAGTTAAAGATATGCATACCCTAAAACTTTGGCTTTTAGATGGCATGGCCTAGAGAAACTCATGCTTACGTGTGCCGTGGTGCTCATAAGCATTGAGAAAGTTTAAAACAGCCCCCAGCCCTTCATTAGTATACTGGATAAATAACTTGTGGTTAATTTATACATTAGAATACTATCTAGTTGAAATTGGGTAGAATTACAACTACATACAAAAACATTAATAAATTATAAAGACATAGGATGAAATAAACCAGTCAAATTAGATTACAGGGGCCCGCAAAAGTAGGTTTACAGTTTGTATATAGAATGTGATTCTATTATATAAGTTTAACATCAGGGACAATTGTCTATATTGCTTAGGGAAGCAAAACGAGGTGGAAGAAAAAAATAAAGGAGAAGACTGTGATAAAATAGTGAACAGAATTATTATCAGGAATCTGTCTTCTCACCTGGACAGCAATTGAACTGGCAGAATCTGATGCACAGTGGGGTTCTCGATAACATTTTGTCCGTCATTTCATTATAATACTAGAGGCTCGATGCATGAAATTCATGCAAGGGGCTCAGCCCTCGCATCCCCAGCTTCGTCCAGAAGGTTGTTTGGCTGTCTGGTCTAATTAGCATATTACGCTTTTATTATTATAGGTAGATAGATGAGATGCTGTAGGAACTTAACTCTTTCTATATCAATTAGCTTATGGTAAAATTGGCTTCGTTATACATTGTTTTACTTAAAGTCACAGAACCTGTTGATGTTAAGTGAGGACTTACTGTAACTGTTTTGGAATTCTGTGGACCATTAAAGGCTTGAAAATTCTAGGGAAGGCCTTAGATTGCAAATTGTGCTTAATTTGGTCAATTTCAGAGCCAAATTTCTCACCCATCAGCCACTGTACGCAGCTGTGCATGTTTTGGAATGGTTTGCACACAACTTGCAGGAATCATAGTGGGCAAAAATGATCTGTTCTCCAAATATCATGCATCTGTGTTCTGATCAGTGATTGCTGCTTCAGATCTCAAAGGTGCAGGCAAAGAGGCAAACAGCCATTATGGTTGTTATACACCCCCTCTCTCTCCCCACAGTGATTTCCAGGCAACTTAACAGGCCAGCACCCGTTTTCCTTCCCTTCATTTTTCTCGTCTTTCCCTTTTGGAGCCAGACATTAAAGACTAGGACATTAAAAAACACCTACATTTACAGGGAAAATTGGAAAGTGACTGCACATGCAGAAAAGATCTGAGAAGACCTTTAAGTTTACATCTCAGGCTGATGCTTGACATAGACACAGTCTCCAACAAACAAAAACATTTACAAAAAAACCAGCAAACCCTGGAAATGGGGTAGAATCTGATCTCCACAGTGGCCATATTATCAGATTTAAATCTCCAGTTTTCAACAACAACAAACTTACAAGGCATTTAATGAAACTGCAAAGTATGATCTATTCAAAGGAAATACATAAGTCAATAGAAACTGTCAGTGAAAAAGACCTCAAGGCAGATCTGCTATACAAAGATTTTAAAAGAGCCGTCTTAAAGATGCTCAGAGAAGTAATGGATGCTGTACAGAAACTAAAGAAAACAATGTCTGAACAAAATGGAGCTATTAATAAAGAGAGAACACCTAAAAGAAACCAAAAAGAAATTATGGAGCAAAAAATACAATAACTATACTGTGACATGAAAAATTCACTGGAAGATTCACTTGCAGATTTGAGTTGGCAGAAGAAAGAATTGGTGATCTTGGAGATAGGGAAATGAAAACTAGCAATATGATGAATAGAAAGGAAAAGGGTTGAAGAAAAGTGAACAGAGCTGAGGGAGTAGTTAGACACCAGTAAGTGGACCAACATACACTTTGTGGGAAGTCCAGAAAGAGAAGAGAGAAAGGGGCAGAGAGAGTATTTGATGAAATAATGTCTGAAAACTCCCCAAATTGGATGAATATAAACATCAAAGAAGCTCATTGACCACCAAGTATGAAAAACCCTAAGAGACACATTATAATCAAATTTATGAAAGCCAGGGACAAGAATCTTGAGAGCAGCAAGAAAGAAATGACTTGTCACAAGGGATACTGAATAATGTGGTCAGCAGATTTCTTATGAGAAACTACGGAGGCCAGAAAGCAGTGGGCCGATATATTCAAGTGCTAAAAGAAAAGAATTCTCAACCAAGAATCCATTATCTGATAAAACTTCATCAAAAGTGAGGGATAAATAAGACATTCCCAGATAAATAAAAACTGAGGATTATGTTTCCACTTGGCCCGCCCTGCAAGAAATGCCCAAGGGAGACCTGCAAAGCGAAATGAGAAGATGCTAGACAGTAACTCCAAGCAGGATGAGGAAATAAAGACCTCAATAAAGGTAAATACACGGGCAAGTATGAGAGCTGTTACTATAAGTATTACTGCAACAATGGTTTGTAGCTCTACTTTTTGTGTTTTCTACATGATTTAAGAAACTAATACACTATTGAAAACAGTAATTGGTCTAAAAGTTAGTATTATAGTAACATTAGTTTATAACTCCGTCTTGTCTACATAATTTAAGAGACTAGTGCATTTAAAAGAATTGTTCATTTATGGTTTTGAACACACAATGTATTAAGATGTGCTTTTGTAACATCAGTAATCAAAAAGGGTGGGAACAGGGCTATAAAGGAGAAGCGTTTTTCTGTCTTGAAGGTAAGTTGGTATAAATTCAAATTAGAGTGTTATAATTTTAGAATGGCAAGTCTAACCCCTGTGGTAGCCACAAAGAAAATAACTGTAGAATATAGACAAAAACCAACTAAACACACAACACAAAAGTAACATAGGAAATGAGGGACAAAACTATTAGATATAAGGAAAATAAATAATACAATGACAGAAGTTTCTTCATATCAGTAATTGCTTTAAATGTAAATGGTTAGCTCTCCAGTCAAAAGACAGAGATTGACAGAGTGGATAAAAAAAACACATGATCAAAAAACAAACAAACAAAAAAAAACACATGATCCAGTTATATACTGTTTCTACAGGTTTTCCCACTACCTGATGTAGAGCACTTTTATGAAATCTTTCATAAGCCAAAATGGCTTAAAGCAAAGAGAATCTCCTGCTTTCAGAATGCTAACTTTAGCCACTTGATCTCACAAAAAACCTACATTGGTATAGTAATGGCTTTTTTTTTGTAAACGTGAAAACCCTCTTCAGGTTTCTTTTAGTTAGTGAAAACAGGTACTCATGTAGTCTTCGTATTATGCAAACTAGAAAGTGGGGATACCTTTATTGTTAAAATGTCAGTACTACCCAAAGTGATCTACAGATTTAGTACAATCATTATAAAAATCCCAATGATTCCTTTTTTTTTTTTTGTAGAAATAGAAAAACCTATCCTAAAATTCATATGGGATCTCAAGTAACCTCAAATAGGCAAAACAATCTTGAAAAAGAATGAACAAAGCTGGAAGAATGACATTCCCTGTTTTTAAGACTTATTGCAAAGCAACAGTAATAAAAGTAGTATGTTACGTATGCCCTGGCTGGTATGGCTCAGTGTTTGAGCCTTGACCTATGAATTAGGAGGTCACAGTTTGAATCCCGGTTAGGGCACATGCCCAGGTTGCTGGCTTAATCTCCAGTAGGGGGAGTATAGGAGGCAACCGATCAAAGATTCTCTCTCATTATTGATGTTTCTATCACTTTCTCCCTCTTCCTTCCTTTATGAAATCATTTAAGATATATATATATTTTTTTTAAAATAGTATGTTATGGGCATAAAGATAGTCAGAGACAGATGAAATAGGAAAGAGAGCTCAGAAATAAACCCTCACATACAGAGTGTGGCAAAAAGAGGTTTATGGTTGTTTGTATGGAAAAATACAATAATCTATAATAATAAAAGGGTAATATGCTAATTAGACCAGACATCATTCCGGGCATCCTTCCAGACAAAACCAGGGCTGGAGCAACGCCCAGGTCCTGGGTGCCTGCTGGCGGCTGGAGGGAAGCCCCGGTCCCGGGTGCCAGAGGGAAGCCGGTGCCGGCAGCTGGGAGAAGGGAGGCCTACTCTTGCACAAATTTTGTGCATCGGGCCTCTAGTTAATAAATAATAGTGCAGGAATAAATTGTACTTCCCATACTCACAACTGTAAATCTACTTTTGCCCACCCTGTATATGGTTAAATTGTTTTGACAAAGGTACCAAGTCTATTCAAGGACAAATGGTGATGAGAAAACTGCATATTCTCATGAAAAAAAATTAAGTTGGACCCTTATCTAACACCATATACAAAAATTAACTCAAAATGGATCTAAGATTGAAACATAAGACCTAAACATTGAAATTCTAAGAAGAAAACATAGAAAAATAGTTTTATGACATTGGATTTGGCAATGATTTCTTAGAAATGATGCCAAAGGCATGGCTTAACAGAAGAAAAAGTAGACAAATTGGCCTTTATGAAAATTAAAAATTTTGTGTGTAGACACTACCAAAAGAGTAAAAGGCAACCCATTAAATGGGAGAAAATATTTGCAAGTCATATACCTGATAAGAGGCTAATAATATCCAGAATTTACGGAGAACTCCTAAAACTTAACATCAAAAAGAGCAAGGTTTTAAAAAAAAATGGATTTGAATAGACATTTCTCCAAAGAAGATAAACAAGGGGCCAGTAAGTACTTGAAAAGCTGCTCAACATCACTAATCATCAGGGAAATGCAAATCAAAACTACGAGGAAATTTCACCTCGCATCCACCAGGATTGACTATCAAAAGAAAACCCCCAAACTCAGAAAATAACAAGGATATGGAGAAATTGGAATCCTTGTTCACTGTTGTTGGAAATGTAAAATGGTACAGCTGCTGTGGAAAACAGTATGGCAGTTCCTGAAACATTTAAAAATACTGTATGATCCAGCAGTCCACTGAAAGCAGGGACTCAAACGGATATTTGTACACTCATTTTTATAGCAGCATTATTCATTGTGGCTAAATCGTGGAAGCAAACCAAGTGTTCCATCAATGAAATAATCAGTACACAAAATGGTATATACATACAATGGAATATTATTTAATTTATAAAGGAAGAATATTCTGATATCCTACAACATGGATGAATCTTGAGGACATTATGCTAAGTGAAATAAGCCAGTTATAAACAGAGAAATGCTGTATTATTCCACTCATATGAGGTACTTAGCGTAGTCAGAATCATAGAGACAGAAAGTAGAATGCTGATTGCCAGGGCTGTGTGGAGAGGGCAGTGAGGAATTATTGTTTAACTAGAGGCCCAATGCATGAAATTCGTGCAAGAGTAGGCCTTTCTTCCCCCGGCTGCCAGCACCGGCTTCCCTCTGGCACCTGGGACCCGGGCTTCCCTCCGGCCCTGACTTCGTCTGGAAGGACGTCTGGCATGACGTCCGGTATGACATCCAGTCTAATTAGCATATTGCCCTTTTATTATTATAGATAGACTAGGGGCCCGATGCATGAAATTCATGCAAGGGGCTCTGCCCTCACAGCCGTGGCGGCTTGCCTCAGCCCTTGCAGCCCGGCTTCGTCCGGAAGGAAGCCCAGGAGGTTGTTTGGCTGTCCGGTCTAATTAGCATATTATGCTTTTATTATTGTAGATGAGTATGCAGTTTCAGTTTGGGAAGATAAAGCGAAAAGAATGGAATGAAGCAAGGAGGAAAACCTAAGACTACGATGATGTGTCGGGGTGGAGAGGAATGGAATGAAGGACCTGTTAAGCTGTGTTTTAATTTGGTCCAGAAGTTCCGCAGAGGCTCAGCTTACTCTCTAGGTGGCCCAGGTCTGCTGGGACGTGTCCTTTTTGCTTCTTGTGTAGCCATGCCCGTGCCCTGGCCTTTGTGTTTCTCTACTTGAGTAAAATTTGCTTTGTTCTCACACGCACAAAAAAGTTTAGCAAGAAGAGCAGAAGATGTCATGCTGTTTGCATATAGAACTATAACTACATTATATTATTTTCCTATTCATTTATGTTACTTACTGTACTTTTAATGCCTTGCTGTTATTGTCTCTGTTTCAGACTTTGGTGTTAGTGCTTTTTTAGCAACTGGTGGTGATATTACCCGAAATAAAGTGAGAAAGACCTTTGTTGGAACCCCTTGCTGGATGGCACCCGAAGTTATGGAACAGGTACTGTGTGTTTTACTTTTTATTTATTTATTTATTTTTAAAATATATTTTATTGATTTTTTATAGAGAAGAAGGGAGAGGGATAGAGAGTTAGAAACATCAATGAGAGAGAAACATCAATCAGCTGCCTCCTGCACATCCCCTACTGGGGATGTGCCCGCAACCAAGGTATATGCCCTTGACTGGAATCGAACCTGGGACCCTTCAGTCTGCAGGCCAACGCTCATCCACTGAACCGAACTGACCAGGGCGGTACTGTGTGTTTTAAAATGGTTTAGGGTTTTGTTATGAAACTGAAAAACACTGAGTAATGTTTGCTTCTGTAGGTATACTAGGTTAGGTTTGGGAAATACACATATTTGATCTTTGGTTAAGACTTTTGTCCTCCTTTAAAAGAGAACTAAAAAAACAAAAAACAAAAAAACTAGAACTTTACAAAGGACATATGCAACTAGGATTTATACTAAAGACAACCTAAGGAATAATATAATGAAGACTGGTTTAGTAATATTTTTCTTAGTACAAATTAAATGACCTAATCTTTTTTTAAAAATATATTGATCTCAGAGAGGGAAAGAGAGATAGAAACATCAGTGATGAGAATCATCGATTGGCTGCCTCCTGCACTCCCCTTACTGAGAATAGAGGTCGCAACCTGGGCATGTGCCCTAACCAGGAATTGAACCCTGACCTCCTGGTTCATAGATCAACACTCAACCACTGAGCCACACCGGCCAGGCAGTATGACCAATTTTGTATTTTTATCACAGGTGTTTTTCATATTTTCATATGGAATTCATTAACCTTGCTTTTGTTTACCTATATAATATTTCTTTAAGTGAATGTACCATATTTAACGATTTCCCATTGTTGGTGAACATTCATTCAGTTTGATTCCTTTTTTTTTTCTGTTCCCAAGTATATTTAGCTTTTGCCTACTTTAGGTTATATGATTGGTTTAAAACCTATGAACACTTCCATGGTTCTTGACACATATTGGAAGCTACTTTTTAAAAGTGCTTTTAGGGTGGTAAAGGTAATCCTGTTCATCTCTCTGTTTCCTACAGGTCCGAGGGTATGATTTCAAAGCTGATATCTGGAGTTTCGGGATCACAGCGATTGAATTGGCCACGGGGGCTGCTCCTTATCATAAGTATCCGCCAATGAAGGTGAGGCTTATACCCCAACTACTACCCCAGCTCCTGTCCCAGTTCCATTTCAGAGCCTTTCTTCATTTGACAGTTTTACTCATGGAATTCTGCCCTGCATTCCTTCTAACTCCTGGAGCAGTTAAAATCTGTAGTAGATATTTGGTATTTAGTATTGAATGACTGTGCATTGTAGCGGTCCTCTTTATATGATGACTGTCCATCTCCTGACACTAACTGGTTTGATATTAGGGTCTGATGCCTCTCATTTTAGTGTGTGTTCCTTACAATCACCTTTAATGAGGATGCACAGCCTTCCTGGGGATGGTGATCGTTTCTACTTCATAAGGTTGTTGGAAGGGTTATGAATTAATAGTGGTTATAGCTGATATTCATTGAGCACTTATTTTTCCAGGCACTGCTTTAAGTGCTTTTGATATCTTAAATAAGATAACCCATGCAAAATGTTCATGTGCCATACATATGTATTATTTTTAATATTGGATAAAAGTTTGCTTAGGACACTAAGCAGCTTTTATTAAAAGCCTATTATTATTTCCTAATGTAGTAGTTACCTGAAGTGTAGTCATTAATCCTGTCCCTAACCTTAGTAACAGAATGAGTATTTTGTGTTTAAGATGGTGCTGCCAGTACTATTGGTAACCATTTTTATCTATGTGACCCTTTAGTTGTAATATGCACATGAATTCTGTTTTGTTTGCAGTTATTGTTTATAGTTCTTCTTGCCACTTTATAAGATATTCTATGACTGAAATGGCAGACCACCATTGTGAATTGTTATATTGATATTATTCACACCTGTATGATTTTGGTGTACTGTAGAACCTCTAAAACAGTGGTTCTCAACCTTCTGGCCCTTTAAATACAGTTCCTCATGTTGTGACCCAACCATAAAATTATTTTCATTGCTACTTCATAACTGTCATGTTGCTACTGTTATGAATTGTAATGTAAATATCTGATATGCAGGATGGTCTTAGGCAACCCCTGTGAAAGGGTCGTTCGACCGCCAAAGAGGTCGTGACCCACAGGTTGAGAACCGCTGCTCTAAAAAGATGTTTTTCTGTCCCCTTTAAGGATCTAACAATGTGGAGAGGTACAAAACCAGTAAAAGATTATTATGAAAAAACCTCTCTCTCTCCATATTCAAAACATATCCTATATAACAAAAGGGTAATATGCAAATTGACCAAACGTCAGAATGACTGGTCTCTATGTGCACTGACCACCAGGGGGCAGATGCTTAATGCAGGACCTGCCCCCTGGTGGTTGGTGTGCTCCCACAGGGGGAGCGCCGCTCAGCCAGAAGCCGGCTCACGGCTGGCGAATGCAGGGAGAGGCTCTTGCCTCCACAGGGGCTCCTGGACTGTGAGAGGGTGCAGGCCAGGCTGAGGCGCCCACCCCCGCCCCAGTGCACGAATTTCGTGCGCTGGGCCTCTAGTACATATATATTGACCTACATGTTTGATGGGTGCAATTTTGATTCTGTGAAAGGTAAGTGATGTTTAAGGTCATAGTTTGCCTAAAAGGTTGAAGATTCCTAGGAGAAAGTGGATATTCACAAAACTTTAAGAATTTTTTTTTTTTAATATATAACTGTAAGGTGGGGGCTGATTTTAAGCCAAAAAAAAAAAAAAGATTTTTTTTATTTATTTTTAAACTAGAGGCCCAGTGCACAAATTCATGCACGGGTAGGGTCCCTAGGCCTGGCCAGCGATTGGAGTGGATCGAGGCCTTCATTTTGTGCTGCCCCCTGGTGGTCAGCGCACTTCATAGCAAGCGATCGAACTCCTGGTCTCCTAGTGAACTCCCAAGGGGACACTTTGCATATTAGCCTTTTATTTTTTAGTGTTGACTTTATGTGTAGAAAAATGGCTTATGCTTTTATAAAAATAGTCAAACAGTATAGTAAAAGAATCACACAAAGCCCCATCACATAAAAATGACTTTCATTACTTGCATCTCTGTGCATTAAGCTAGTATGTTGCCATGAAAGTCCAGGAAGGAACAGATGGACAGGATAGTCAAGATTGTCAGTTGCTGCGGGGAAGGTAGGAAGAACGAGAACTAAAAAAGGCTCCAGCTTTGTTATCTAGGACATCATTAGTGATTTTAATGATAGAACTATCTGAGGAGTTCTGGGAAGAGAAGGCCAGATAACAAGGCATCAAGTTGAAAGAGAGCCATGAATAGGTAAAGTCAGCAAGTTCACACTCCGAATTTTGCTATGGTTTTAATTTTTTTAAAGGTAGTTTGGCAGTATAGGAGTAGGGACAGAAGACATGAAGAAAGGAGTCTAATTAAAGGATATATAGTGTGGATACAGTTGAGCTCTAGTAGGCACAGCATCTGGGAACTTCCTATAGGATATTATTTATGTGGATAACTCTGGATTCTGAACAACTGGTCTAAATGTGAACTTTTAGGAAATAATATCTGCTCGTATGTTGGGGGTTGTCCATATTAAAATGTCTTGGCCACAGTATTTAATTTTACTTTACTGAGTCTTTAGAAGTTTTTATTATATTGAAAATTCTTACAGGTTTTGATGTTGACACTGCAAAATGATCCTCCTTCTTTGGAAACTGGTGTTCAAGATAAAGAAATGCTAAAAAAATATGGAAAATCATTTAGAAAGATGATTTCATTGTGCCTTCAAAAGGATCCAGAAAAAAGGTAAATATCAGATAAGGCTTACTTTTCTCTTCATCTGATATGTTACTAGGAATCACATACATACATGCGCAGAGAATTACTTGTTCATATGAAAGAGAGATGAACATATAGAGCAGCGGTTCTCAACCTGTGGGTTGCGACCCCTTTGGGGGTCAAATGACCCTTTCACAGGGGTTGCCTAAGACCATCGGAAAACACATATATAATTACATATTGTTTTTGTGATTAATCACTATGCTTTAATGATGTTCAATTTGTTACCATGAAATTGGGGGTCACCACAACATGAGGAACTGTATTAAAGGGTCGTGGCATTAGAAAGGTTGAGAACCACTGATATAGAGGATAGAATGAGAAGGTTCAGAGTGTGTGTATGTAATAGACACACACATACACATATATATGTGTACAAATCTACATATATGTACCTATGGACTTTACAGGAAGGATTAGAAAGAATGTGGAAGATAAAATATTCAAGGAAATAATAGCTAAGAATTTCCTAGAATTGATATACCTATATCCTCAGGTTAAAGACCATCTCTCAAAATTCCAAGCAGCATTCCCCTTTTCCACTTGGTCATGAAACTACAGGACAATGAGGCAAATAGAAACTCTTAAATGCACACTGAGGGAACAGGCAAGTAGACCATTAGCCACTTCCCTAATAATAACAGTTGATGCCAGAATATACTGGCATAATGTTGAGAGAAAATAACTTAACCCAGAATTCTCCAACTAATCAAATTAACATTCAAGAATTAAGCATAGAATTAAGATATTTTTCAGACAAAGATTAAGTTTTTCAGTCATGTTTTAGCACTTAAAGAACTCTTATAAATTGTATTTAGAAAGAAGGAAACAATCCTAGAAGAAAGGAATAAATTATAAGAAGCAATGTTGTGCAAACAAACTATCGAACCTATTGAAAACTTGACTGAATGAAAAAATAGGAATGGTAATGACTGTTGTCAGTGTGCATTTATTCTGTCTGTTACTCTTTGTAGAAATCCTGGTTCTCAAGCTTGAGTGCACATGGGAATCACCTGGAGAATCTGATCAGCTAATGATCCCTGGTTCCACTCTAATTGGTGTGGGTGCAGCCTAGGCATCAGGATTTTTTTCAGCTCCCAGATATAATGCGCGGCAACATTTAAGAACCACTGTTTTTAGGGAATTGAGTAAAATTGAATTTAGATTAAATTGGGGAATATCTATTAAGTGTAGAGTATTTTTTAAGTGAAATCTATTTTTAATATGTTAATAAGTTGAAGGCTAGCAAGCAGCCACATAGCAAGAAGCAGAGGACTTTGTGAATTTAGATGTATTTTTTTCTTTTAAAAATATTAGTTTGATTATTGACACTATTATAGATGTCCCCATTTCTTCCTACTTTGCCTAGCTCCACCCAGCACCACCCTGCCCCCCAACCCCCTGGCCGTCACCACACTGCTGTCGGTGTCTAGATGTATTTTTATGCCTTATTAAAGTAAACATTTTCTAGCCTACTTCTTGGGAAATAATATTAAATAGCAAATGTGTTGGAAGCCACTGAGAAATCATGCTTCCAAAAAGAAATTTCACCGAATGACTTTGTCAAAGAACCTACAATAATTATTATCAGGGCATTTCTACATGAGTTTTTATTCTACTTAATGTCTTATACCAAGTTTATCATAGTTTTCTCAGCTTTGAAGATAAAAACCCACATTACATTTGAATTAATTATAAAAGCTTTCTTTTCTGGTTTTAGACCAACAGCAGCAGAATTGTTGAGGAACAAATTTTTCCAAAAAGCAAAGGTAGGAATTTCTAACTTTTGATTTTTGTGTTCATTTTCTCTTCCTCAGTTACCTAAAGTAGGTTCACTGCTCAGAAGCTGTACTATGTTAATATGGTTGTGTTTAGAAGAATGGTAGTAGTAGATCAAATAATTGCAGAGGCTGCCATTTATACAGTCTTTGGTAATTATGATACATGATTTAGAATAAGTAAATTTATTTTTCATATAAATTAATTTAAATGTCAATAGATTAAACTTATAACAGGAACAATGAATGTTAAATTTTGCCATTATAAATATAATCTATGAAAAATACTGAACTCTCATTTCAGGGTTTACTACTAAATTACTAAACATCTCATTTCCTAAAGATTTCTGATAAGTGGGAATTTACTATATTTGGAAGTATTGGACCATGATCCCAAAGGACATATGGTATAAAGCAAACTTTTCATAGATAATGGTTCCTAACAATACACTAAAGCTCTGTCGCACCTTATAAACCCATGTTAGCAGTATCCGAAGGGAGCTTCAGAATAAAAAGATGGAAGCGTTTCTTGAACTTCTTTATAAAACAGTTAATTTGTCACATTTTAATTTGTGTCAATAAAAACTTCTTTGTCAATAAACACTTGTTATAAGAAAAAATACTTATTTTTCCTCTCCAGAATAAAGAATTTCTTCAAGAAAAATTATTGCAGAGAGCACCAACCATTTCTGAAAGAGCTAAAAAGGTGGGTATTTAACTCGGTTTTCCTGGGAAATTGCTTTGAGTCGATTTACTTTTGCATTTTGAAGGTAATACTTTGTTGTCCTGGCTGGTGTGGCTCAGTTGGTTGAGTGTGGTCCCATGAACCAAAAGGTCACTGGTTCGATTCCTGGTCAGGGCACTTGCCCAGGTTGCAGGTTTGGTTCCTGGTTAGGGTGCATATAGGAGGCAACCAATTGGTTTCTCTCCGTCTCTCTCTCTAAAAAATAAAAATCAATAAAAAGTAATACTTTGTTAACAGTCTGAGTATTACTCATTTTCTTTCAGCCCTTTCTTTAGCATTCTTTGATACATTCATTCAGTAAATATCATTTATCTACTGAATGCCTACACATTACTCTGCTATCTGCTGTTGATGAATGAATTCTAAACTGTGTTAAATCACTATTTGCAAACTAGAGTGAGTTGTGAGGTTGGGCTCTTTTACTCACACCATACAAAAGTATTGAAGATACCACTTCATATCCACTAGAAGGACTAATAAAAAAGATAGACAATAACAAATATTGATAAAGATGTGGAGAAATTGGAACCCTCACACTTTAATGGAAGTGTAAAATGGTGCAGCTCCTTTAGAAAGTAGTTTGGCAGTTCTCCAAAAGGCTAAACAAAGCTGCCATATGACTCAACAGTTCCACTTCTTGGCATGTCTAAGAGAACTGAAAATATGTACAAATAAAAATATGTACACAAATGTTCATAGCAGCATTATTCATAATAACTAAAAGTGTAAACAACCTGAATGTCCCATCTACTGATGAATGGATATGTAACATGTCATGTATCTGTTTAATGCCATAAGAAAGAATGATGTATTGATACATGCCATAATAAGCATGAGCCTTTAAAAAATTATGCTAATTGAAAGAAATCAGTTACAGAAGGCCACATATTGTGAGATCCCACTTATGTGAAATGCTCAGACTAGGCAAATTTATAGAGACAAAGTAAATTAGTGGTTGCCTAGGACTGGAGGGATTTTAGAGAAATAGGCAGTGACTGATAATGAGTATGGGTTTTGGAGGGTGGGGTGGGGAGGAAGTGATGAAAATAATCTAAATTTCATTGTGGAGATGGGTTCACAACTCTGAATAAAATGATTAAATTATATGCCTTAAATGGGTTAACTGTATGGTATATGAATTATCTATAATAATAAAAGCATAATATGCTAATTAGACCGGACGTCCTTCCAGACGACCTTCCAGATGAAGCTGGGGCTGTGAGGGAAGCCTGGGTGCTGGTGGCTGGAGGGAAGCCGGGTCCTAGGTGCCAGAGGGAAGTTGGTGCCGGCAGCCGGGGGAAGGAAGGCCTACTCTTGCACGAATTTCGTGCATCGGGCCTCTAGTATCTCAATAAAGCTGTTACTGAAAAAAAGCATTTAGAGGATTGCAGCACCACCAACATAAAGCTCTTGGAAATTGAAAACATTATAGGAGAAATGAAAAAATTCAGTACCAAAGCTGTAGAGTCAAGTTTAGGATGTTTCCCAGAAAACAGAGCTAAAAGGCCAAGAAATAGATAACAAGAGAGAAAAGACAAGAACAGTAAAAGGATCATTTAAAAAGATTCAACAGATGAGTCAAATGAATTCCAGAAAAAGAGAACTAAAAAGAAAAAAAAAAACGAAGAAAGGAAATTATTGAATAAATAATTCTGGAAAAATTCTAAAACTAGTGGTCATGAATTTCCAGATTGAAAGAGCCCAAGTACCCGGCACAATGAATGAAAATAGGCCAACACTGAGGCCCACCGCCATGATCACTCGGAATACTGGAAGCAAAACGCTTGTCGGAGAAGGAGGAATGATCACAGGCAGGAGCAGGAGTCAGAATCAGGGTCAGGAGTCAGAACGACCTCAGGAGCTTTTCTGGCAACCGGATCACAGTGGAGCAGTTACGCTCAACATGATCAAAGGAAATAATTTTTGATCCAGACTTTTTAACAGGCAAACTGTCAGTGAGATGCAGAGATGGAATAAAGATATGTTTTAGAAATGCATGGCTTTAGTAAGTGAGCCAGGCTAATGGTGGGGAAAGTGCCTAAACTAAGAAGAGGGAAGTCACATGATCCAGAAAGCATGGTCCTCTGGATGACGGTAGAGGGAGATCAGAAGTACTAGACCTGGTGTGAAACCTTCCTGGGGGAGCAGATGAGGAGGCTCTGGTGGGAGTCTTCCTCAAGAAGATGACGCTGATGCAGAATACCTACTGTGCATGAATGTGCTGGGAGGAGACTTACATAGCTGGGAGAGAATCGGGGGATAAATTTGACAAGTACATAGAGATAAGCAAATATTAACTCCAGGGAAAACAAAAATGTTATGCAGGAAAGAAAAGTAATTATAATGTACAGTAAGGCTCAGCCATATCAATTATGTAATCAGGTTATGTAAACACTGAATATTGATTTAACCAAAATAATATATCTTGAGAAGAGGGGTGGTAATAGGGTTAAATTCTCAACTTCCAAAGTAGGAAGCCCAATAGATTAATTCCTAAAATAAGAAAACGGGTAATAATGAAACCATGTTACATAGAGAGATGAAAATACAATCCAAAAGAATAAGCTAACATGAGTTGAAAATGGTTGCTTATGGTAAATAGGATGAAAGATAGGAAATGGTTATTTTTTTTAACAAAATTTACACAGCTATAGTGCTCTTAAAACCGTACAGGTATAATTGTGATTTTTAAATAAAATTATGACTTCACATAAGGACTTGGATGATGTTCTAGTTCAGAGCATAGAAGTATAGGGAAAGTAGTGGTTGTGAGTAAACAAAGAGTGGAGATTATGAGCAGAGCTGAGCTGGCGAGGGCTGGAGGATACTTACAGGAGAATGATTATCTGCTGGGTTGAAGTAGCATAAGGAGAGGAGAATATGATTGACTTTTCTATATAATAAATGTCAACATTAACATAACTTCTGTCTCTCTTCCAATGAGCAGGTTCGGAGAGTACCAGGTTCCAGTGGCCGTCTCCATAAGACAGAAGATGGAGGCTGGGAGTGGAGTGATGATGAGTTTGATGAAGAAAGTGAGGAAGGGAAAGCAGCAATTTCACAACTCAGGGTAAGTTTTGTGAAACTATATGCTTCAGCTAGAGCTCTATCTTTCTGTCTGAAGCCTTTGAGATAATACTGCATTCTATAATTCTGGTCACCCTACCCACCTAAAATATAAAAAATCCAAGTGTTAGTGACAGAATTTTCTTGAACAACTTATCAACATCAGGAGCCTAATTGATTTTACACGAAGTGAACTGGCAGGTCTGTTTGAATATGATAATATTTAGGGCACATACAAATGACCCAAGTCTGGAGATGAAAACTACAATGTCCAAGATGAACATACACTGGGTGGGATTAATGGCTAATTATGCATTGCAAAGAAAAGATTAGTGAACTTGAAAGATTAATAGTAATAGAAACTTTGACCCTGAGGTCTGCTAACCTCCTATCTGAAGAGTAATAGTGCATCTCATCTCTTCTTATATCTATTTGATATAACCTTGTTGATGATGATGATGATGTGTATATGCTAGTTTTTGCTAGAAGCAGTGAAAATAGTCTTGTTTTCATTTGTTTTATCACTGTTGCCTAAATTTAATGCCTGGAGTGATTTTAGGGCTCACCCCCAAGAATAGGAAACAAACACAAAATTAAATTTATAGACTATTGTGATATCTGGATGGAAAATAGATTGGATGGGAATAGCAGCAGATTAAACACTGTACAAGAAAAGATTAATGAACTTGAAGGCTAGCAATAGAAACTGCTAAATGAAACTGAGGAAAGAATTTATAAAAAATGAAGAGAATCAGTGAGCTAATACAAACATTAAGCAGTATAATATACATGTTATTGGAGTCTCCAATGTGTGTAGGAAATATTAATGTTTGAGGTCATTATAGCCTTGACTGCTCAGAACCTTTTGTGGGATGAGTAGTGGCTAGTGGTAGATCTTTGCCTGCTTTTAAGAACGAAGGTTTCTTGGGGAAACGGCTGATTACAGGGCTTTCACAGATAATATACAAGATGAATCTGGAATAGCTTCTTTTGTCAGAAAGTAAATATTTTTTATTAAAACAAAAAAATCATAATAATAGATGAGCCTGGTTCACGGATCTCCCAGTGGCCAAATCAGCGAGAATTTAACCATTAAAACCATTAAGTGCAGTAGTAAATTATAAATAATTTATTAAGTCCACAACAATAAATGGGGGAAAGGAATGGTTTTTTTCATTGTAGTGAACTGCCAGTGCTGACTGGTAAATGTTGAGGAGTGTTGTACAGGGAGAATTATCATTTTACAGCCACCATAAAGCAGTCATAAAGATTAGCCCAGGCAAGGATCATCAACAGATGCTAAGTATAGGAGAATATTTTGATGAGCAAGATATTTACATGGTTTTAAAGTGTCTCTTCAGAGAGTGCCTTTTAGTTGCAAAATACAAAATAGTTCCTACATACTGGAGAAATCAAAAACTGCCCTGAGTAGATGATTAACGTCACTAATGAGGGGCAGACGAGCACGTGCTTCCCTAAGATATGGAACCCTAGGAAGGACACAACACTGTAGAGTTCCAGCTGTGAGTTCATATAATTAGTCTAGATCAGCCGTGGGCAAACTACGGCCCGCGGGCCGGATCCGGCCCGTTTGAAATGAATAAAACTAAAAAAAAAAAGACCGTACCCTTTTATGTAATGATGTTTACTTTGAATTTATATTAGTTCACACAAACACTCCATCCATGCTTTTGTTCCGGCCCTCCGGTCCAGTTTAAGAACCCATTGTGGCCCTCGAGTCAAAAAGTTTGCCCACCCCTGGTCTAGATCAAGAGGAACCATCAGACAAACAAAGATCAGGAGCATTCTATTCAAATAAAGTGTGTGGGGGGTATTCTTCAAAAATATTTATGTGCCAGATAGAAACAACCTAAAGAGACATGACTGCTAACTGCAATACACGACCCTAGAGTTTATCCTGTACTGGAAGAAAAACAGGCTATAAAATGAGGTCTGTTGAAAAAAGTTGGATTATGGACGATAAATAAAAGTACTATTATTAAAGTTACTGAAGTTGGTAACTTCAGTAGTGTTATGTAAGAGAATATCCCTATTAAGAAATACAATAACTATTCAGTGGTAAACAGCTATTAATAACTATTATTATCTATTAATTTATAAATATATATAATATACTAAATATATAATATATATCATGTGTATTATATATGTGTATATTTAAAAAGAGAAAGTGAGCATTGAAACAATAAAGCAGATGAGGAATAAATACTATTAATAGGTGAATCTGGGTAAAGGGTACACTGGTGTTCTTTGTATTGTTCTTTATGTAAGTTTGACATTTTTTCCAAATAATAAAGTTTTTTGTTTTTTTTTTTAACAAGGTTTAAGGTTGGCCATATACTTGCTGTGATACATTAGCTATTAACTAAACCTTGATTCTCCTTAATAAAATGGTGATGAGAATTTTAAAACAAACCCAAACTGACGTTTTAAGTAGTCTAAATCCATATTTGGTAGAATTTACCATAAATTGGTATTTGTTTAGAGATAAAGTTGTTTTTTTAATTCCCCAGTAGTATCCAGAATTACTACTAACTGTTTTGATTTATTAAATAACTTTAGCTTAGATTTTCATATGGTAGATTATAATTGGTTTTTCAATTTTGGCTCTAGAGTTTTCTTCATTAAAGCCCATAATCATAATTAACCTGTGTTGAGAATTATTAAATATTAGCTTGAAGGTTGACATTTGGTCTGGTATATTACACACATAATATGTTCATAATTAGTAGAAAGTTGTGCTTTGAAAAGTGTGACCTTCCTGCTGTCTGAGAACTCAGTCTCGTTATGTTTGTTTATAAACTTCAAGTTGTGAGCTCTTCAGATACCATCAGTACAGGCCACGTGGACAAAGATTGCAATAGTCACGACAGTTTTCTTTTTCCTGAAAACTTTCCTGAGAGTTGCCGGTGAGTTAATGTGTGGATCAGAAGAAATGGAGTTCACTTGCGATTCAGCTTTCTGTGCACTTTGGAACTGACCAAGTAACTCGAGTTTTGAGTTAACAAGGCTTCTTTTTTTGTATTTCTTTTAGTCTCCCCGAGTGAAAGAATTATCAAATTCTGAGGTAAGTAGTTGTGATTATTGAATTGTTAAAGAATATGGGCTTTTGTTTGGATTTGGTTTTAATGTTAAGCACATCCTATATAATAAAGAGCTAACATGCTAATTAGACCAAACAGCAGAACAACCATCCCGAAGACCGTCCAGACAGCCTTCTGGATGAAGCCGGGGCTGCGAGGGCCGAGGCAGCCGGCGCTGAGTGTTCATATATTAACATGTATCAGAATTTACTTCCTTCCTTTTTAAGGCTGAATAATATTCCATTGTATGTATATACCACATTCGTTTATCCATTCATCTGTTGGTGACACTTGGATTGCTTCTATCTTTTGACTGTCCTATATAATAAAAGCCTAATATGCTAAGTGTCCGGTCATCTGGTCGGCCATTCAACCAATCAAAGTGTAATATGCTAATGATATGATAAGGCCGCTCAACTGCTCGCTGTGATGTGCACTGACCACCAGGGGGCAGACAGTCAACTGGGTCACTATGATGTGCCACCAGGGGGCAGATGCTCCAACCGGTAGGTTAGCCTCTTGCTGGGGTCTGGCCGATCGGGATTGAGCGAGATGGGCCGGACACGCCCTGGAGCCCTCCCCAGCTGGCCAACCTCCGTGTCCCTCCCTGGTCCCAGTCGGGCACTGGTGGGGTCCCTCAGCCTGGCCTGCACCCTCTCGCAATCTGGGCTGAGGAACTTCCTCCCCACCTCCCCCCAAGTGCATGGATTTCGTGCACCAGTCTACTAGTTGTTAATAAAATTCCTATGAAAATGGCTGCACAAATACCTGTTGAAGTCCCTGCTTTCAATTCTTTCAGGTCTGTACCCAGAAGGGAATTGCTGAATCCTACGATAATTCTGTTATTAAGTTTTTGAGGAACCACCGTACTGTTTTGCAATGCACAAGCTTCCAGTTTCTCCACATCCTCTCATTACTCTGTTTCTGTGTTTATTTTTGGCAAACATATGTGCATGCTTCATTTTGAAAAGTGTTAATAATTATATTAACATTTTGAAAACTAATCTTAAAGTTCTGTTTTTCTATCAAAATCCAGAACCAATGAGTAACTTTTGATTTCCTCTATATGAAACTAAATGAACACAAAATTTTACTTCCTGATCTCCTTGATTTTGCTTATATATTATGAGCTGTTAGACCTCTCTTCTTGTCCTTCTAATTTTTTTTTCTCTTTTAACTCTAAATTTGATTTCTTTTCAATAACTTTTCTTCTCCAAGTTACATAATTAAAATGTAGAAATATTTCAAACATGCAAAATAACATATATAATGTCTATGTTAGTCATAAAGTTTCATATCCATTTTGAAAAGCATTTCAGCTATGCTAAGGAATTACTGGTTGATTGTCTTTCTTTATAAGTAATGGAAAGTCCCTAGACATAGAAAAAGGTAGCTTGTATAATTTTGTATTGCATACTTAAATTTGTATTTTGAACGTGCTATTTTGCTGGGCAAAGGGTGCAGAATAGATGTGGTTAACAGTAAGTATGATACAATGAACTGCTATATTGAAGAAGAAGAAAAAAGTGAACTACTAATATATGCTGCAGCATCACTGAACAAACTATGCTATGAAAGAAGCCAGACACAAAAGAATGCATTGTTTTTTGAGGTCCAGCCAACCTTGCTCAATGGCGATGAATGAAACATTATTCAAGGATATTCATTCTGTTACAGCTGTTTCCAACAACGGATCCCGTGGGTACTTTACTTCAAGTTCCAGAAGAGATTTCTGCTCATCTACCTCAGCCAGCTGGGCAGACGCCTGCACAGCCAACTCAAGTCTCTCTCCCACCCCCCGCAGAGCCAGCAAAAACAGCTCAGGTAAAGCAAGGGCATGCGTTAGTGGTTAGCCTCTGGGAAGATGTAAAAAGCAGAGAGGAATGTGCTAATATAATAAGGTGACCTTATTATAGGTGGTAGATTTTGAAACAAGTTTGAATTCTTTTCCCCCAGTTTTAAATGTATGCAGATAAGAGAGTTTTATAAGGATCACACAGATTTTTAAGCAAAAAAAAAAAAAAAAAAATGTTAACAATGGAAACATTTCAAACATCAAAATTTGGGGGTTAATGTTCTTATCAGCTTTTTATTAGATCCTTATTATGTTTAACTTCAGGATGCAGCTGACAGTTATCTTGACACTAGGAAAATTGTCGACTGTTCTCTTTTTGTTCACTTATGTTTGTGCTATTTATTAATACTGTCTACAATCCATGATTTTCCAGTATTCCTCTTTTTAAGATATTGGTCAGTTTTATGAGGGTTGACTTTATTAAAATGAGGGAATGTAACCTGTAAATCCACATACTCGGGAGCACACAGACTTACGAAAGCAGCTGGGGAGAGTTGCTGCCTTGGAGGGCATGTCCTCCCACAGCAGGGAACGTCCTAGGGACCAGGCTGGCCTCACCTGGCGATGGAGAAACTTGCTGCCAAGTGGACGATTCCTCTGCAGATGAGCAGTAGTCACCTCCATGCTTAGTAGTCCTGGCAGTGACTCTCTACCTTTCAATGCTTTTTAGGCTCTGTCTCCAGGAGCAGGTTCACAAGAAACCAAGATCCCCATCAGCCTAGTACTAAGATTAAGGTCAGTCGACGTTTTTGTTTTGTTTTGTCTTCTGAATACTCTGAACACGCTCTTTTCTCTTCGAAAGTTACTCCTTGTTCCAATAGTCTGTGCCCAAGAGTAACCGGATAGGCTTGCGTGTCCTCCCGGCATCGGGTGCATTTGCTTGCAGGTGTATTATTTCACTCTGAAATAATAGGAGCAGCGTGAGGCCTTGGATGTTGACAGTCAACTGGTACATACTCTTCATTGTTTCTCCACTAATTGTGCATTTGCAATGTAGGTCGTTTAGATTAGGAATCTGGTCTTTAACCGAGGAACAGTTTTTAGGGGAGTAGCACTAAGTGGGCTTATCTGAAAATTAGTCTTGTAATTGTGACCATATAAATAGCATGGACTCTGAGATCAACTAACCCAAGAGTGGGGTGCTTTCTGATCGTGAGAGAGCAAATAAAGGCCTTCTCCTTCAGAGTGGAGGGAAAACTCCTACGTGTGTAGTTTTGTCTGTTTCTCTGTTTTACAGCAAGTGCTCTAATTGATGCTTCTTGGTGGGGCTGCGACAGATTGCTCGCAGGAAGTGCCATGGTGGCGACCTGTTCATTTTAACCCTCTCTCCCTTTGCAGGTAGTTGGATTAGGATTCCAGAGCATTCTTATCAGAATAGCTGTGAATGTTGTATTGCTATAAAGTCTCATTCTACTCATAAATGCACTTTAAAAATTTATTTATGCCCTAACCGGTTTGGCTCAGTGGATAGAGTGTCGGCCTATGGACTAAAGGGTCCCAGGTTCGATTCCAGTCAAGGGCATGTACCTTGGTTGCGGGCACATGCCCAGTAGGGAGTGTGCAGGAGGCAGCTGATCGATGTTTCTCTCTCATGGATGTTTCTAACTCTCTATCCCTCTCCCTTCCTCTCTGTAAAAAATCAATAAAATATATTTTTTTAAAAATAAAAATTTATTTATTGATTTGGGGAGGAAGGGGAGAGAAGAGAAAGAGAGAGAGGTTTTTTGTTCCACTTATTTATGCATTCATTAGTTGATTCCTGTATGTACCCTGACTGGAGATTGAACCTGCAACCTGGTGTATCAGGATGACACTCTAACCCAGTGATGGCGAACCTATGACATGCGTGTCAGAGGTGACACGCGAACTCATTATTTTGGTTGATTTTTCTTTGTTAAATGGCATTTAAATATATAAAATATCAAAAATATACATCTTTGTTTTACTATGGTTGCAAATATCAAAAAATTTCTATATGTGACACGGCACCAGAGTTAAGTTAGGGTTTTTCAAAATGCTGACACGCCGAGCTCAAAAGATTCGCCATCACTGATCTAACCAACTGAGCTACCTGGCCAGGGCTGAAAACAATTTAGTTTTAGAAGCATCACATTAGATGGCTCAGGCCTTCTTAAACTATACTAACACTTTTAAAAGACTTTCACTAAATTATATTGACTCATTCCTCCTTCCACATATGAATTCCTAGTCATCCTCTTGGTATGACCATAATTAGAGATAGAGGTAGCAAGAGCTGTTTGGAGAATGTTTTGATTTTACCACTAGGAGCAATAAAATTATGCCATAAATGTGAGGAAAGCAGATCTGGCTACCTTTTCTTTACAAAAGCCTCCTCAGTGTACCCTATCTCATCTCAAATAGTTCTGAATTAATAGAGTGTCTTAGTAATCTCATCCTATTTTAATTGTACTTAGAGAATACCACTTGTCTCTTTTGGAAAATTTGTTATGCTGCCTTCTAGCAGTCAGTAGACAGTACAAAACTTCTACTTGACGTGTGCTCCAGGAAGGTGGAGAAGGTACTTGGAAGTGATGCAGTTAGCTTTCTGAGAGGGTGGTTTCTTAATGGACTATGTTGCAATCCTGTTTATGGAGGAGGGGGCTAGATTCTTATTCTCGCTGATGAAGACTTTGAGGTTAAATGATGAAAGAGTTTTAGATCAGAGCATATTATTGTCTTTAAAGGTGTTGGTGCTTGGCATGTCAGTTAGATCACTAGTGATGCTAAATGTTTGATCTACTTTTAATCAGCTTTCAGAAAGAATAGATTGAACAATTATATAGTCAACAGACTATATATATATATATATCACTCTTAGCTACTGAGGAAGAATATGGAGAAAAGAGAAAATGAAATGCCTCACTTGATAATCAAGTCTGGGTTGGAAGTTGATTTGGATTATGTACTAATAGCTAGAAACAAATTTCAGGTAGCATACATGCAGAAGTATAAGTCTGGATGCAGGGCGCAGAGACGGCGGTGCAAGGGTTGAAATCACGTGGGGGCAGGTTGTGTTGGAGATGGGTAGCTGTATTTTAAGCACAATAACAGGAACCTCCTCAAGTATTTGTCAATAGTCCTAAGCCCTCTGCATTGTTTAGATAAAATGGATTTGGGTTCTAAGTGATCAGACATATCTGCCGTTAGACATAATGTTCTAATTTCTCCACCTTTAACCAGAACCTCCAGGGAGCCTGGTTAATTTCAGTACAGTCTATGTGGTGTGTGTAACTTTTCCTTGCCAGTCACGTATTAGGATCTGTGGAGTCATATGTTAACTCTTTGCCGATATGGGCCCAGTTGTTTTCCCATCTCCTTGGACTGCCCAAATTTCTCCACCTTTAACCAGAACCTCCAGGGAGCCTGGTTGATTTCAGTACGTCTGTGTGGTGTGTGTAACTTTTCCTTGCCAGTCACGAATTAGGATCTGTGGAGTCATATGTTAACTTTTTGCCAATATGGGCCCGGTTGTTTTCCCATCTCCTTGGACTGCCCAAACCCTACCCATCCATTAAAACTTACTTCTGATTTTTTTTTTCTCATCTCATTAGGACTAATCATATGATCTTTGGGAACAAGACAGTCTTGAGGCACAGCTTTCCTAATATATGTTGGCAGAGTCTGTGTGGGTAAATTCAGAAATTGATTTTATACATCCTGTTTTTTTCATAGGAATTCCAAAAAAGAACTAAATGATATTCGATTCGAATTTACTCCTGGGAGAGGTAAGTCATCAAAAAAACTGGAGATAAAGTAACTGCTGCTTTGTTTAGTGAGAGGTGTTGTGAAGTTTTGTCCTTGAAATACGTTATGTAGAGGATGATAAAGATGTTCCTGATTGGGGCATATGAATAAAATAATGCACTTTGTTACTACTCACCTCATTTAGAAAATCTAGTGCCGGTGACCCTTGAATAGCATGGGTTTGAACTGCACGGGTGCTTATACACAGATTTTCTCAATGAAGACTGTAAATGTATTTCGTCTTCCTTGTAATTTTCTTAATAACGAGTGCCGGTGACCCTTGAATAGCATGGGTTTGAACTGCGTGGGTTGCTTATACACAGATTTTCTCAATGAAGACTCTAAATGTATTTTGTCTTCCTTGTAATTTTCTTAATAACATTTTCTTTTCTCTACTTTATTATTAGACTGCAGCATATAATACATGTAACCTACAAAATATGTATTACTTCTCTGTTTATGTTATTGGTAAGGCTTCCAGTCAACAGTAGGCTATTAGTAGTTAAGCTGTGGGGATAGTCCAGAATTTCCCACTGCACTGCTGGTCAGAGCCCCTACCTACCCCTCATGTTGTTCAGTGGTCATCTGTATAATACAAACAGTAATTAATACAGTTCTAATGTACTGTTACTGTTGGCCAGACTTGTGCTCTGATAGTGTACATTATCTCATTAAATTCTCAAAACAACCCACTACATAAAGATTACCCACATTGTATGGATGATGAAATCAAGAGACAGGTGAAGTAACTTGGCTGGGGAGAGGCGTAGCTGGAATTCAAACCCATATCTGTCAGAGGCAAAGTTCTTGCACTTATCACTGGACACGGTTATCCTCCTGACAATAAAGAAGAAAAAAACGAGGCTTCCAGACTCGTCTCTCCCAAGGCTAAAATTGAGCCTGTCGTGCAGTTTCTGGCCGTGAACTTCTCCCTGGAACATGGCTTATTGCCTTCGTTACTCAGTGTTCAGATTTGGGGAGTGGCCAGCAGCAAACAGATACCTGTCCTTTGTGCCATGCTTAATCTTCTTGCTGCCTTATATCATCAGCAACTGACTATAGAAGAGAGTAGATGCAGATGTACAGAGGGGTAGTCGCTCTACTTTTTAAAAACCAAGCAGAGTCACATACTTAAGAACTAATTCAAATTGCTGGTTGTCTGCACAAGTGTGTGCATGTCCCCTCTGAGGGGCTCAGGGTTCAGCCCTTGGGAGGGAGCATCACTGACTCAGTTGGGGGTGAGGGTAATGGGGGATACTCTGTCTTCATCTTTTTAGTTTCTCATTACAATTGCTCAGATTACAGCACCCAGCATAATTAGCTATGAAGAAAAGCCCATCATCATCATAATAAAAGATTTCAGCAAAAAGTTGGGAGTGTGATCCCAAAAACAAGAGATTGCATTTTATTTTTTCAAGATTTAATTGAGAGAGAAAAAAAAAGTCACTGTTTTTTTTAGCCCTGGGGATATGGCAGGTTTGCCATCATGTCTCAGAGCTCATACGGCACGGGCCAGGGCTGCCCTTGGATCAGGCGTTTCCTCAGCAGCATCCCTGGCAGGTGCTCTCCCACTGAAATGACACCATTATTGAGACAAGTATCTTTACCTTGAGCTCACATTTGCTCTCTGGTTGTATTGCTTTTGCCCTCCAGCTAGACCTGTGAGAATTCCTCAGTTGAGATAATCCCAGTGGTTAAACCTACGTGTGTGGGAGGAAGACCTCCACCTGCCTTCTTGGTTCTGTAGATTTAGTAGCTGAAGTCTGGCAGTGCCAACGCCTGCTCGGAGGGTTAGCAGTGACATGCAGCACAAGAAATGGAACACCTCTGCTTTGTCCTTGCAGATACCGCGGAGGGCGTCTCTCAGGAACTCATCTCTGCTGGCCTGGTGGATGGAAGGGATTTAGTCATAGGTAACTCCACTCTGCTCTGCCCTGCCCCCCATCTCTGTCTGTGTACTTAGGACCAAGAAAACCAGGCTTTGATTCTACTGAGCACATATCAGTGGTTCTTGGAATGGTCCCTGGCTTGGCTGAAATAACAAGTGTTGGGCACAGTTCCTTACAAAAAAAGAAAATGTCACTCCTGAGTTTGCTTTGTGACCTTTGGTGATAGTGAAAAGCCCACCCAGATCGCTGGGAGACTGGTAGACGTGATGACAAAAATTACAAGTTAAAGTAAGCTTGGCCATGTCCAATCCATTCCCTTGTGGAGCTAAGAGGTAAACAGAAATCTTTTTTTTTAATATATATTTTATTGATTTTTCACAGAGAGGAAGGGAGAGGAATAGAGAGCTAGAAACATCGATGAGAGAGAAACATCGATCAGCTGCCTCCTGCACCCACTACTGGGGATGTGCCCGCAACCAAGGTACATGCCCTTGACTGGAATCGAACCTGGGACCTTTCATTCCACAGGCCGATGCTCTATCCACTGAGCCAAACCAGTTAGGGCAACAGAAATCTTTAGAGTTAGTCCTAGAAAAAGCAGGCAGTAAGATAATGCACAGTCAGGCCATAGGTACACATTACTGACGGGAAAGACCAATGTGTAGGGCAAATCAGTAAAGGTTTTCTGTAAAGGGCCAGACAGTAATAGTTTAGGCTTTGTGGGTCATGTACAGTCGCTCTCTTTTTTAAACCATTCTTAGCTCACAGGCAGAACAGAAACAGGCCACAGGCATAGTTTGAATAGGCAAATCATTCCTATTTAACCTGAATGTCTTTCCTAAGTTAATACAGCATCTTAAAGAAAGTTCATTTGACAATGATTTGAGATTTACTTGGGCTACTTGGAGTTGAGTTTAAAAAATACTTTCCTTTGGGGAGTGATGAAACTTTCTGTTTCCATTTTAATTGTACATAGAAGATTAAAAACTACCATTTAAATTCTTAAAATATGGCTGAAAATGGATCGACTAAGCTCATTACCTTTTCTGCTTGATTACAGTGGCAGCTAATTTGCAGAAAATTGTGGAAGAACCGCAGTCGAATCGATCTGTCACTTTCAAACTGGTATTCGTCTCCTCCTCCTTATTAAACCATCTTCCTTTTTACACACCAGTAGCCCCTGCAGACCAGCTTCCATATTCTCTGGGTGATGAGAATTTTACTTTTATTTATTTATTTAAATATGTTTTTATTGATTTTAGAGAGAGGAAGGGTGAGAGAGGAGAGAGAGAAACATCAATCAGCTGCCTCTTGCACACACCCTGACCGATGATGGTGCCCTCAACCTGGGCATGTGCCCTGACTGGGAATTGAACCTGCGACCTTTCAATGCCCAGGATAATGCTCAACCAACTGAGCCACACTGGCCAGGGCTGGGTGATGAGAATTTTAAAATATCGTGGATTGTGTTCACTTAGCCACCCCCCAAGGTCCTGGGCTGAAGTCTCCCTTTGAGTGGCCCTCTCTTTCTCTGCCCTCCCAGGAAACCTCCTACCCCAGGCCCTTGACTGTGCTCAGGAGAGATTGTGAGCTAATTTGACTCAAGCCCCATCCCTTCTGGAAGAGATCCCTTCATCTGCCTTCTGCTTCTATCCCAGGGACGTCTCCCCTACTGCCTGCATTCCCACAATCCCCGTATCAGTTTTAATTGCTACCTGTGATTTGTTTATAAATAGCCACAGCTTCTCATTTTGTTTGGTTCTTAGGCATCTGGTGTCGAAGGCTCAGATATTCCGGATGATGGTAAACTAATAGGATTTGCCCAGCTCAGTATCAGCTAAATCACGGCCCTGGACGAGGAGGCCTCAGAAGATTCCACACATGCGTATCTCTGTTACTTCTGTGGCCTAAACCCACTACTGCCAAAGAACCCAGCAACAAACTTCCCAGCTAGGAGTTTTAGAGGTCTTTCCTCATGTTCGTCCTGCCATCATCCCCCCCGTTTCCCACAGGGAAAGAAAAGTTGGATCACCAGTGGCCAGCATCCCCTTACAGAGTTCCGTTAGTCAACTTCCATGTCTCCTATCTTCCTCCATCTGCGACGTGGCCCGCGTGCCTCAGCCCGGGAGGAGATCTTTCAGCTCATCTTGCCTTACTCCATTGATGGCGCTGGGTGGAAAGTAGCAGCTGTGTCGGGCTTCCTCGTGCTGCCTCTTCTCCCACACCTGACAGGATGTGGGCACCTTGGGATGTCTCTTCACCCCACTGAAGTAGCAATTAAAAGTTGATTGTCCAGCTGGAGCCCAGAGAATTTAATTTAGGGATTTTTTTTTTAATCTGATGTGAATTCTAGCAACCTTTGTTAGGAAAAAGCACAGCCTCAGATGGAGGCAGCCGAAACTGTCTTCGAGTTTTGTTGATGATGTTTCTAAGCGTTTTGCTGAAGCTGCTCTCAGGCACCCTCTTCATTATTCCCTCCAGAAAGGGTTGCTAGCCTTAACTTCAGCTGGTGCAAAACATCTGACTGTAGTCGAACTTCAGCCATCGGATCCTTCAAAGTGGAACTTGGAACAGTTTTTAGAGAAAATACCAAGTATTGGCTTGTTAAAGTGAATTTTCCCAGCGGTGGTTTTTGGACAGAAAAAAAAAATCAAAACTCATATCATTGTGGAAGTTATTTATTTTCAGAATTTAAAAAATTAAATTGAAGGAAAACTGCTCCTCAATCCTCCCCTGAAAATCAGTTTGCCTGGCCTCCGAGTCACGAGGAAATGCAAGGCTGAGATTTCTGCAGCAATAACGGAGACACCACTGCGCTGGAGAGGCCTGCCTCCGCCCCTCGCCTGCACTGACCCTTCGGAGGGGGTCCACCCCGCGGTGCACTGAACCGGGCCCAAGGCAGAGAGTGAAACCACATGTGCCGTGACTTAGGATTTCTGACAGACAGTATTCATTTGATTTTCTACAGAAATAATGTAAATTATTCTTTAGGTTTTAAAAAAGAGCACTCATAATGCAATTTGTGAATAATCAATGGGGTTGATTTTTTTTTTCCTACTGTTTCACAGTCAGCCTTTGTCTAATTGCAAAGAGTCCTAACGTGTTTTGTATATGTAAGGGATCCTCAATCTGGCCTTACACCACACACACAGAGGCTTTGGCCCCAGGAAGCGGGGAGAGCTGAGCTGCCTCTTAGGGAGCGGCTCCAGCACGTCCATTGTTGGTCTGTGAACAGCAAGATTGCTTTACCTGGTTTTCTCGGAGTGTCTCAAGGCTCTCCCTACAGGTGACCTGTCACAGTTCTTGTTTCATCCGGAGCTTGTAGTTTTAGTCACGGGCTTTCTTAGCCTACCCTGGATGCAAAGGCATGTTGGGAAAGGGGTGGATGTTGGGGAGTAGGAGAGAGGATGGGTTTGAGACGGAGGTTGGGAAGAAAGGAGATTACGGATCAGACACCAAAGTCCATGGTCCAAGCAGGATTGTTAATGGGAGAGAGCCTGCTGAGCCTAGAGAGAGGAAAGAAGGTTGATCAGCTTGCTGGGAAAATATTTACCTTTTTCTTTCTTTTTTAAAAAAATGTATTTATTTTTTTTTAGAGGCAGGTAGAGGGAATAAAGACAGGGAGGTAGGAATAAGTTTGAAAAAGAGATAGTGTCCTCTTTGGCGCGAGACTAGTAACTTACCTAGAGTCTGTGTTTTGGTGTCCAATAAGCCCATCATCTACTTGTTTATGAGTCCGAAGGGTGTGGCATCGCTGTTGGGGCTTTCTGTTTGTAGGCGATTGAAGCCCAGGCCGGGGGAAGCCCATCCTCCTGGTCAGTGTCTCCTGCCAGCCATTACCTTTGGACGGCAGTGGGACAAGCATGGCAGTGGAAGTGGCTGGGGCTTTCTCTTTGCTCCCAGTTCATTGTTTGCCCTGCTGGGAACGAGGAGTCACCAGGCTGCATGCGGTATGGTGGACTCCCTTTGCTGCCTCGCGCAGTGATGCTGAGAAAATAAGTGAACAGAAACTTCCAGGTGGGACAGCACGTGACCTAGTGAGAGACCTCGCTCCCTTCTGGGAGTGGTGGGCGGTTCGGGGTACACGCTTTTCCCAAGGTCCCCAGGACTCCCTGTGGTAGGGACTGACTTTAGCACAAGTTAACCTGTGCCAATGCTGTTTGTGAAATGTATGGTGTTTCTAAATGACTATTGGATTTGTTTGGGTTTTTTGCTTACGTTTTGAACCAAATCCTAGAGCCAGCTGATACTATTTAATAATCTGGAGGATAGAATAATAGTGTATCAATAAATGGAGGTTCCTCCTTACGACGTGTGCTAGATTATGGAAGATGTAAAATATTTGACTCACCCCCACCCTTTTTTTGACTTTGTATTTTGCTGCATGTTTCCTTCATTTTTAATCAATAAAGAGTAAATTGTCTGTGGTGGTGTAAGGAATCTTTACTTTAGTGGTGGTGAGTGGGGAGGAATGGGGAGTGGGTCAGAGAGTCTCTACTATAATTTTTCTTCCAAATGCAGAAAAGCGAAAGTGCACATAAACTCTAAACAATGTATATGACCTACAGAATCTTTGTACACATGGGAAAGCTGGAATCCCAAAGGGGAAAGAGAGAGGATCCACCCAAAGAAGTTTGGCAGAATGGGATAGAGAACGCCGTCTATTGATCTTTTCTGACTTGATCCTACTTGTGGGTGTGGGCAGGGGAGAGATGCTTGATGCAAGCTCGTGAGAGTTCCTTTTGGGAAGTTCAGAGCAGGGCTGAACTTGTCTCCATTTGGCTTTGAGATTGCAATGGTGGGGTTTCATAGAAGATTCTAGGCCCCTCTATTCCTCCACCTCCTGGAGAAGTAATCTCCCTGAGCACAATCCCTTCCAGGAAGGTGGCCTTTGACCAATGATAGGACTGCTTGTGGGTCTTGGTCATCCAGAGCTCAAATCCTGGAATTGGCAGTATCAGAGTTGATTGAGTTTGCTTTTAAGATAAACAGGTCATAAAAGTGGACTCTGACTATTGTGGGGAACAGAGAGGGGGTGCTGGTTATTCAAAAGAGACCCTGGTGTCTTGGGGACGGGGCACAGCAGGAGCAGCACCCCTCCACTTGGCCATTCTCTCTAACACGGTCAGATCTTGTCGAGAGAGAGTGGTGATGCTCAGTGCAGCAGTTTGCAGGTCCTTTCTTTGGGCCACCTCATCTACCCCTTTATTTTATAGAGAAGTTTTAGTTTCATAGCAAAATGGAACAGAAAGTATAGAGTTCCCATCTACTCCCTGAATCCATACGTGCACAAACTTCCCCGCTATCAACATCCTGCACCAGACTAGTACATTTATTGCAGTCGATGAACCTACATTGATCAGTTACTATCACTCAAAGTCCAGATTCACTCTTTCTGTTGTGCATTCAATGGATTTGGACAAATATATAATAACATGTATCATCGTTACAGTATCGTACAGAATAGTTTCACTGCCCTGAAATCCTCTGTATTCTGCCTGTTCATTCCTCTCTCCCCTCTAGTTCCTGGCAACTGGTGATCTTTTTACTGTTTCCATACTTTTGCCTTTTCCAGAATGTCATATAGCTAAGATCATACAGTATTTAGCCTTTTCTGAATGACTTCCTTCACCTCATCATATGCGTTTAAGGTTTCTCCATGTCTTTTCATGGCTTGTTAGCCCATTTCTTTTTAGCACTAAATAATGTTCCCTGTCTGGATGTATCACAGTTTATTAATCCATTCACCTACTTGTTGCTTCTAAGTCTGGGCAGTTATGGGTAAAACTGCAATGAACATTCATTTTGTGTGGATATAAATTTTCATCTCTTTTGGGTAAATATCAAGGAACCCAGTTGTGGACTGTATAATAAGAAAGAGTATGTCTAGTTTTATGAGAAGTCACCAGCTGTCTTCCCAAGTGGCTATACCATTTTATATTCTCACCAGTGAATATAGATTTGTCTGTACTCATATGTGTGTGTAATGGTATCCCTTTTTAATTTGCAATTCCCTAATGACAATCTTGAACATCTTTTCATTTGCTTATTTGCTATTTGGCAATATATGTATATTATTGATTTCAGAGAGGGAAAGAGAGAGATAGAAATGTCAATGATGAGAGAGCATCATTGATCGGCTGCCTCCTGCACGCCCCCTACTGGGGATTGGGCCCATGACTGAACTAGACTCCTTCCAAGACCTGAGTCTTTCATCTGGTAAGACTTCTCCCCGGGGGTAAAAGATGGGAGGATGGGAGCCTTTATCTTTGGGAGATTCCTCTTTGAAGTCATGCCTTTGTTAGCCCCACAGCTGAGGCCTGTGATAGAGAGACTTGGTCCTGTGCTCTTTGGTTGTCACTGAGCTTGCCTAGGATCGATCGCTGGGGCTACTCTGGGCAGTTGCATTTGTTTTTCATCTTGGCTTGTGTTTGTGATTGATTCCTTGATTAGAGATCAAAATGTAGCTCTTGGCTCCTCTGTAATTGCTTTGTATTCTTGAATTGTCTTCATTGCTGAAAATGAAAAGCATTTATGCCCTTGGTGGGTCTCCTGACCTCCGTGCTGCCTTGGGATTGACTGGTGTTACACACCACCAGTACCAGGACCCACAGGAGAAAGATGAGATGATCATGAGTCAAGAGGCTAGGTTGGTCCATGGACAGGTGTAATAAATCTGCAGGCTGGGTCCTTGCAGCTCTCCTGACTTACCCTGCTCTGCTAGCGTGGGCTGGTTGCTAGAGGGACTTCTGTGTCCCTTTGGGTATCGCAACTACTCTCAGAATGTGGATTCTATTGTGATGAGGGGTTTGAACTGGGCTTGGGTTGTTTAGGATGTGGCTGTTGGCGGGGGCTGGGGGGCGCTGTATACTATATAATGTTTGGGTAAAGCTCTGTCCTGCGTGCTGGGCCTGGGAGGTTTCCAGTGTCTAATAAAACATCCTCTGATTCTGCAAGCCCAAGTGGACTATTTTTTTCATCATCCTCTATCCTTGACAGGGAGCTGAGGTGTGAAGGTGCAGCTGAGCGCGGCTGGGTTAAACATTAATGCCGCCGTTATCACAGCCAAGAGGAACAGGGAACCCTGGGCCAAGGTGCATAGCTCTCTGCCCGCCTCAGGCTGAGGACGTGGTGGCCAATAGACATGGCTCAGTTTTCCGAGGTCTTGGCTGAAATAGGCGACTTCGGTCGCTTTCAGGTGCAGCTGCTGCTGCTGCTGAGTGTCCCCAACTTCCTGACCGCCTTCTATATGTTTGGCCAGGTCTTCATGGCCCTGGAGGAGCCCCACCACTGCTCAGTGGCCTGGGTCAAGAACCTCACCTTGAACCTGAGTGCTGCCGAGCAGCTGAACCTGAGCGTGCCCCTGGATGCTGCGGGCAATCCCGAGCCCTGCCGCATGTTCCGGCCGCCCCCCAACGGTGCCAGCCTGGAGGACATCCTCAGCCACCGCTTCAATGAGACACAGCCTTGCGAGGCGGGCTGGGAGTATCCCGAAGACAGGCCCCTGTCCCTAACGAACGAGGTAGGCTGCCTTTGGGGCTAGCTGTCCACTTGTTTGGGGTCTGTCACTTCCTCTGCCTTATGCTTTGCCCTCAGTCACTGGCGTTGCTGCCTTTGTCTTGCCCCTATGCCTGAATGGTTAACCATTGATATGCCTGTTTGTCTTTTTGCCAATTACCCTGTTTTTCTCTCTGTCCTCTGCCTCTAGGCCCGTCTACCTCTCCATCCATTTCCTCTATCTGGTCTCTCGGCCCATCTGTCTGTCCATTTTTGCCTGTTCTTTTGTCTGTCCTGCCTGTCTGCCCAATCGCCTGCCTTTCTTCCTGTTCCCTCCTGCTTTTCTGTCTTTATTCCTTTCCCTCCCGTGTTCTCAGGCCGTGCCTGCGTGTACATCTGCGCGCCCATCTTCCTGTGTTTTCCCAATGCTAATCTCTTTCCCTGTCTGCTCATCTGCCTTTCTGCTCACTTGCCTTGGCTTCCTACCTGTTAGCTTCTCTCTCCTGGTCTCCTCCTGCCGACCTCTGGGATGCTGGAGGACCCCCGTGACTCTAGGACTTGTCCTGTTGAGCACAGGTCATTGTTCTTGCTCAGTTCATTCTCGAGGAGGGACCCAGGCAGAGAACAGAAAGATCCCCACTCCAGCCGCCTCTGATTAAGAGGATCCCTCGGCAAGCATCCTGGCCCACGCCGTTTCTTCCTAGATGTCGGGATGGGTCTCAGAGTGGGGGTGGGACTTTGCCAGGGTGGCATCAAGGACTGGCCATGGAGCTGGGACCCACGCGGCTCCTGCTGTCCAGTGCCCTGCAGGAGCAGGACCAGGGGCGGAGGGGGCAGGCACGCCTGAGAGGATCAGCGCAGCTCTCACCTTCAGATGGAGGACGCAATCTGGAATCCAGAGATTCAACATTTATTTTCCCCCAATGGGTAAAAGATTTCTTTCTTAGAAGCGCTCAGAGGAGAGTGTTTTACCCAAACTCTCCCTTTAATATGTGACCCTAAACCTGCCCAGAGCCCTGGCGCCCGAGGATGTGTTTTTCGGTCTTCGTTGGCCACCCCCCTCACCCCGCCCAGAGGGAGAAGACAGCCCTGGAGCTCCCCCGCCTCTGGATCGCGCCCAGCTCGCCCAGCCCACCCCTCACTGGCCTCCCGTCTCCCCAGCATCACCCATCCCAGGTTCCACCTTCACCGCCTCAGATGCTGGGGGGGTGTGCCTGCCTCCCCACGTGCTCAGGAACTCTGCCAGGCAGCCAGACAGCGCCATCCTAAATGCCCAGGCAAACATCCAGGTGGCTGGAAGCCACCACTCGCCCTTGTCCACAGCCTGTGCAGGACTGTCCTTGGAGTTTTATTCAACCAAAGACCCCTGAGTATGAACCGTGGGGAACAGTCAGAGGGGGAGCCCCCCTGCTCCTTTCTGCGATTGCCCCTGATGCTCAGGGGAAGACCTGGCTCCTCACTCAGAGAGAAAGGGTGCTGGGCTCGGAGGCTAGAAGTTGCTTCCTCCTAATGAGGGAATGGGAGCTTCTGGAAGAGCTGCTGTGTGAGCTGGGCCCCCCGGTACCAGAAGGGTGGAGTTGAGAAGACGTTTGTGTGTGGAGTCAAGCTGTGTGCAGGGGGCACAGAACTCCCCAAGGGGCCCACCCATCAGTGGGGTGAGGGGTGATCACATGGACTTCCTGGGTGGGCACATTCAATAGACATGTGTTCAGAGTTACATGGACATGCATGTTATTCCTGGGGGTTCCAGTCTGTCTGTCTGTCTGTCGGGTTCTCTCTGTGTGTCTCGGGTGCATTGCCCCCACCTCCTCCCCCACCATGTGTGCGTGGACGGGCTCTCCTCCATCCTAACCTCGCCCCCGCCCCTTAGTATTCTGACTGCCTGTGAATGAGGACAGCTTGGGGGGGGGGGGATTTTGCTTCTGG